ATTCTCACCCCCCCACCCCTGCAACACGCATACTCCTTAATACACACTCTCACACCCACAGCCTGCCTTCCCCGGGGCCACGCGGTGCAGGGAAACTTGTGAGGTGCTAGGGGCAGCCTGTTCTGGGAGGTGAGGACGGAGGCTGGGCGCCAAGGCGTTGGAGCTCCGGGAGCTCCAGCAGACGGATTCAACTCTGCGCAGGAGGGGAGGGAAGGGGATGCAGGGAAGGGTATGCAGGGAGAGAGGGAGGAGGAGAGGGGGACACGGAGGGGGGCAGTGAGGAGGAGAAAGGGGTGCTGGGGGGCGCAGGGAAGGGAAGATAGGGGTGCTGGGGGGCACAGGGAGCAGGAGAGAGGGGTGCGGGGGGGCACAGGGAGGAGGAGCGGGGGTCCAGGTACGCCGCCCCAGGTAAGCAAGGCCGGGGCGGTGGCAGCGCGCCCACCCCCGCGCGGGGAGTCGCTAATCACAGTTGGGCTGCGCGGCCCGGCAAGGGTCAACTGGGGCGCTACCAGCACCCGGCCACTTTCGGAGAGAAGGAACGGGGAACAAGAGGGGTGGGGGAGCGGGGACGCGGCTGATTTATGCGCGCACTTCAGCCTGTGTTCTCGCTGCCCTTAGCGAGAAAAAAGCCGTGGCCGGAGAGGAAGGGGCGCGGCGGGACCTGCCCGGTGGGGGCGCAGCGGCGGCGACGGCACGGGGCCGAGTGCGAATCCTGCACGCCCGCCCAACTCACAGCCCGGAGCCCAGGCCAGCTCCGGGACGCCCGGCTCCCCAAAGTGAGTGTCGGGGTCCGGAGACATCCCCCCAAGGCGCCCGGAGCCCTGGCTGAGCGCAGGCCCACGGGCGGGGGGACGGGAGGGGCGCGCCAGCCCCAACCCGGTAAGCAAATCCAAGGGGCCCTGCCCCGATGCCCTGGACCTTCCCGAAACGGCCCTTCCTTGTATTATTCTAATTACGGTATTGTAAATTTCCCCTTAAAAAAATTAAGACAAGAAACAGAAAAGCCCAGAAGGCACTTGTTTGGTTTCATTTTGCCTTCACAGCTTGAATGACTCGGTTTGTGGAAGCTGTTTAGGAAACTGGTGAGGAGGAGGAGAAGGAAGAGGAGGCCAGGAGAGGCTCCGGCTGTGGCCTCGGATGCCCAGCGCCCCTCCCTTCTGTCGCCGGGGGTCCACCCAGCCAAGGGGGCAGGGTGTCTCTACTCCTCAGTCCCAACCCGTGACCCCGCCTCTCTCCCTTTCCTATAGGCCTCGGTGGGCTCCAAGGGGTCTCCATGCAACCCCAACTGCAGGGCTGAGGGTCAAAAGAACATGCTGGGGGTGGGAGCAGGGCGCTCCAGGACGGACCATTCAGAATCACTAACCTTACTCTCCAAGCACTTGGAAGGAGGGGGTCCTTCTCTACCCTCATTCTCAAAGTCCTAGGCAGCCCACAGCCTCCTTAGAAGACAGTGGTGAAGAGGGCAAGGGGAGATGGGAAGGTCTCATCTTAGGCCTGACAGCCAGAAACTCAACAACGTGGGTGGGGAGGCGATAGGCTCCCCAAAACTTCAAAATAAAAGGTAAAAATATATTCTGCTCTACCTGTACAAACGAAGAGAGAGCTTTAAAATGTAAAGCGAGGTAGTTCCGCAGCCCATGGGAGCTTGGCTTGTGATTTCTCTCGCCTAGGGCAGATTAGGATCAGGGTGGAGCTGCCTTTGGCCACTTGGCTAGTCTCAGGCCTTACCTCCGACCTCTGGCCCAGCCCTGTTCCACCAGTCTGGGGTCCGCGTTCCTGACTCTGCCTCTCCCCCCACCATCCTGCTACAAGTCCCAGTCTGACCTAACTATCAAACAAACCTTATCTTTAGCTGCCTGCTTACCCTCGGGCCTCAATTCAGCAGCTCAGTGCCAGACCCATGCTGGCCAGTCTGCAGCCCAGCGGTAGAAAGGAGCCAGAACCAGCCTGAGGTTTGTGAGGCCCGAGTTCAGATCCCAGATCTATCCCTGAGTCCCCATGTAACCCCCGGACATGTCAGGGCCTGTCCCAAAGCTTCAGCAGTTAAATAAAGGGGTTGGAAAAGGGGAATTGTTTTGTCCTCTGGAATTCCCAGTTGGGGGCGGGGGGGGGGGGGGGGGGGGGGGGGGGGAGAGAGGAGGGAGGGAGGGGAGAAATTACCTCCGAAATTTCTCTCCTGTAGTGATACTTTCACTTTAATGAGAAAGCGCATTAAGACACTCTTGGTTTTCCATTTGTTTGAGATGGGTGTTTGCTATAGCATGGAGGGAGACACAGGATGGGCCACCGCACCACACCCACACACATGCACACACACACCTGCACACACAGCAGAGACACTGGGAAAACTCTGATTTTAATTGCATCTTAAAAAGAAGTGTTATCATGATACCAAGGTCCCTTCTCAACCACCCCAGTCAGAGGCCAAGGCAAGACTCTTTAAAAACTCCAGGAAAGCTAAGGGGTGGGGTGAGAGGATCCTCAGGGCTGACCGGGCTTTTGAAGTGGCCTCTGCTGGCCAGTCACTTGCTGACACCTCCTTCTAAGGGTCTGGGGTTTTATGGTTCTGGGTTTGATTTTTCCACCATCAAACTTTATGGCTGAAAAATCCTCAGTGCTGTAAAGGGAGCTCATCCCCATATCCACTAGGGAGGGGGGTGAGGGAAAAGAGACAGAAGTGCCTGCCACCTGACGGGAGCTTGCACACCCTCTAGAAAGAGCCCCCCTCTGTGGAGACAGCCTTGTCTCCCTCAGCTTGATATAAGCCTCAAGGCAGAGGTGGATGGGGCCACGAGGAGGAGTCCAGTGTGACCTGAACCAGCCTGGCTGTTAGAGAGGAGCAGCCCTGCATGCAAGTCCACAGTCTGTGGTCAAGTGAAGGCAAGATATGAGGAAAGCCAACATTCTGGCCTTGGTTTTCCCCATCCGTGAAATGGGACTCACTGGGCAGACCCAAAGAACATTCTGAAAGATGTTCTGTGCCTGTGGCATTAGAAAAACGGGCTGCGTAGGAGGAAGGGGCATGTTCTCCCTCCTGAAGGCAGATTTCTAAGGGCTTCACATTCTGGGCAGAGGGATGACTGCACGCCGACCCCAACAGTTGGCCCCTCTCTAGGCTGGTGGGCAGGCAGCCCCTGCCGTGCTAAGTAATGAGCACAATTCCAACACGGGTTCTGCTCACTAGTGAGAAATCAAAGCCCGGTATTAGAGGCCATTTCTGGCTGGGCTCTGTTTGTGCCCAAACCCATCAAAGCCCTGGGCCTGGGGTTTCCTCTGGGGAAGGTGGGGACTGGATGCTTTGTTAAGCAGGGAAGGCAGGCCACCCCCAGCCTCCCCAGCTGAACCTGGCCCTGGAGAGCTCTAGGCCAACCAGTCTTGTCTTTTTCCTGCCCAGCGGAGGCCCTCCCCCCACCCTCTGTAACCTCAGTATTTATTCCTGATCCCATTGCTGGGCTGGTTCTAAAAGAGTTTCTCAAGCCCCAACCCTGCCCAAGTGCCCTTTACAGAGACTTCACCCTACCCTTCAATCACCTCCCCTCAAACACCCTCAAACCAGAAACCGACACCCCAGCCCAGCAACTCCCACATTCAACTGCACTCTTTAAAACAAGGTTGGTCATTCAGCAGCCTGCCCCCTCCCCCCATCATTACCTTCCAACTTCAAAACACTGCTTTAAATACCTGAGTCTGCCCAAATCGTAATTAACTTGGATCAAATGATTGTGTCGTAACTTTACAACAGAGGGCTGGAAAAAAAAAAAGCGGAGGATGTGCTAAAACCAAGCCCTCGCTCCTAGGCCGTGGGAATCATTAATTCCAGAGTGAGGAATCTTTGGCTATTGGGGTGTACGTGGGGGGCGGATGCCAACATCCCAGCGAAAGGTGGCGGGGGTGGGCTGCGTCACCTCGTCTACTTTCTGCGCCAGCTTTCCTGCCCCGTTCTCAGCCTCAACTCCGAGGACTCCGTGCAGGACGCTCCCCCACCTGCACCCCACCCTGCCCCGCCCCGGGAGCCAAGGTGTCCAGCGGCCGCCGCCAGCCCACCTACTTGGGTTCCGGCACCAAAGAGAGGTTGGCTCGCCTAGAAGACGCAACCCAGTCAGCGACGCGGGGCCCAGCTACAGACGAGCAAGAGGCGTACACAACCAGGGCGAGGGGGTGGTGGTGGTGGTGGTGGTGACTTTATTTTAGGAGCCCACCAACCCCCTTAAGGCATCTTGCAGGCCCACCGTAGGCAAGCGCATCTTGTCTGCTCCCTGGACGGGGGAGAATGTCAGTGACCCATTTAAAAGGGAACTTGGCAGGATCATTATGTACTTCCCCCCACCCCCCCCAACGCAACACACACACACACCAAACCCCAGAAAAAATCCTTCCAGACCGGATCCTGCGGTCGCGGGGCAAACTGTACGGCAGTATTCAGCCCTTCCCCCTTCTATAGCCAAAGCCCTTCAAGCCGCCTCCCGCGGCTCGCGGAGCCGACCCGCGCTTCCCGTGCTCCGCAGGTCTCTCGCTCCCTCCCGTCTGCGGATTCCGGTGGGTGCAGCGCGTAGGAGCTTGGGAAGAGCCGGGAACCACGACTAGGAAGTTGCCGGCGAAAGGCAAGCAAGCACACACCTGGCCCGAGCAGCAATAGTCTTTTCTATCTTTTCTCTTTTTTTTGCCGCCGCCGTGCGCGGGGAGCCCGGGGTCCCCTGGAGGCCAGTCCTCCGGGAGAAGCAGACCCCGACTCGGACACCCACTCCAAGGAAAAGAAGCGATCCCTTCTAGGAGGGGGTCAGGGGAGGCAGGAAGCTTACTCTGAACCACCTGGCAGGCGCCCCCAGCGAGGTGGCTGCGCCATCGACCACTTTGGTGGGGCGGAGAAATCTACCTTCTAACTTGGGTGCCCTTGCGCTTTCCCTGTGCACACCGACGCGTGATGGACCACTTCAACTTCGGGACAGACTAGGGCGCAAAGGTCCCCTATACCCCCGCCCCCATGCCCGATCGCTCCCTACCTGCTTGGCTCAGCCTCGGGTCCCAGCAGAGCAGCAGCGCCAGCAGCAGCGCGCCCCGCGCTCCGCTCCGGGCCCACATGCTCCCGCGGCCAGGCTCGGGCGCCTCTCCCCCGGGGCTCTCTCCCTGGCCCCAGCCTCGCCGCCGCCGTCTCCGCCGCCGC